CAGCCAAAGCAGAATCCTGAAGAGGAGACGCGTGGGAAGAGTAATTACTAATCACAACAAATGCGACGCAAGCCAGGAGCTGTTGCGGTCTCGTCGGCGTGCGCAAGAATACCGTTGAAGGGCGGGTTCATATGATCGATCGACATGCGTTTCGTTGAACAGAAGCAAAACAGGAGGAGACAGGAACGACAAACGAGTTGCCGATTCGGAGTAGGGGGGAAAATACCTTGAATATCGACATGTAGAATGGTGACATGTTCGCAATACGAAGGAGGGTTTAATGTGGATATGCCAAAATCCCCTCCTCGAGGTGGACGGATGACAGCGCTCCTATGCAGGGATACCTTCGCGCAAACAAATTTGACGCAAATTATGCGGCACAAATTTGAATTACTTCGATTCTCCAGAAACCGATTCAGCAATTGTGCAATTTTCAACGCAATTTAAGAACCGGATTCTCCGGCAATCGATGCTGAAATATTCGGGTAGAAAGCACATTCTCCAGGCTTCCAGACAAAATATCGACAACAAACTCGCGGAACCCAAATGATTCTTGTCAGAACGGCGCTTCTGAGCATCCTAAAAACGAGAACCACGCCTCCGTAAACGACGCGAATTCGGCTCAGACAATCGGTCGGCAAGCATTGAATTGCACGGGGAACGCGCACAAGCGTCTAAGTTGCGGGCGGGGACAGGAGAGACAAGAAAACATGCATGGCAAACGATCCTACCGAATATCCCTACGGCAAAAAGGGAAGATGCGCGAAATCTCCCGTAAGAGAGCCACGGAGTCACGGAGATCGCCAGCCTGCTGCTCGAAGACGACAATGTCATCGACAGACACAGTGCGTCTCGAATAGTCATTGCGGACGGCGCGATTCACAGTCCGACTGTCATCCTTGATAAGCTCCATTGCTTTTACGGATTGTCCAATATCGAGACGCATTCTTTGGCTTTCGCAAGCTTGAGCGCAATGGTGGTGGCATTATTGGCACTTTGGAACGTCGTGCCCTTGCCTCCAGCCATCTGAAATAATGCAAGCACAGCCGTGTCATAATTGAACTCAATGTACGACGTTGTCGAGAAAACCATGGGGTTCTCTTTTTGGACCACTATAAAAACATGTATGACATATAACCGGCATATCAGTTTTACGAATGAATTTTGTAATCTTGATGATTCTCTTCTGCAAATCGGACGTCGCGAAACCAACGCAATTTGCTTCTTCGCTGGGTTCAACGAACTCAACAAGTTAAACGGGCTTTTTGTCATGCCAGAATATGCCTGAAATATCGCATGCGTCTACACGAACGCGAAACTGATGCGCACTTTTTTGAATTCGCTTCACAATTTCCTGCGCATGAGCCTTGATCGACTTCATAATCTCGACCTGGCTTGGCTTGGCCTCCGCTTCCGTAGCTAAGCTTGACATTGCTGATAAAATATGATACAATTTCTGTGAACCAGTGAATTGCTCACCTGGGTTGCCACTGGAAGCCCGGTCCGCGGCGCCTCACTCGGCGGGACCATGTGTCACCCGAAAAATCAAAAACTTTTGCCCTGCACCTGAAGACGCACCACTTGCGGAACGGCTAAGGCGGGAAATGTCCCGAGAGCGCTCGGCACAGCACCGCTGCCGCCGCCAAGCCAGGCGGGCGCGGGCGAAAAACCGCCACTGTCGTCTTGCATCCTGTCGTTCTCCCGTATGAAAATATTTTTCGAGGGGCGACGAATTCTCACGGCTGCTTGAATTTGGGCACGACGAATGTTCAACCGCCCTATACGTTTGTTTCCCTGCGCATATCGGTAGACTCGCCAGGCCGCGCTGCAGCCGCTCCGCCGGTCATGATGCTGAAGGAATCGAGTCGTAATTGCTCTTTCAAGAGCTCACAAATTGAAGGCACAAGACAATGGATTGGGAAATAAAGACCGACCTAGCGACAGCCTGATAGCCTTGAGCCAACGTTAACCTTGCTTGAGCCCAAATGGTTTCATTCTTGGTAAAATTGTTATTGTCACGCAGCCGTTGCACATTTTTTAAACCAAAATACAAACACACACTCACACACACGCACACACACACACGCGTTCCGTCCACGTGAGTCCGCGTGACGAAAAGAGTACAAAATTATCCCACCTTTCTGCGGCGTTATGTGGCATGGATAATGTGCAAAGTAGTTACGGTCATCATTTTTTAAATCGATGAATTCTGCCGCAATTTGAACACGCAATTCGGCACCGATTTTTTGCTGGACCATCTGTTAAGTTCAATTTATCAAAACCAGGGAAAAACAAACGCACAAACACACAAACTCACACACACAAATACACACACATACAAAACACACAACCACACAAACACACAAAACCCAAACACACAAACACACACAAGCACACAAGCACACAAGCACGCAACCACACACAAACACACAATCAAACACAGCCACAACCGCAACCACAACCACAAGCCCAAGCACAAACACAACCAAACACAAACACAAACACAATATCAAACACAAACACAAACACACACGCACAACACACACACACAAACACACACAAGCACACACACAAGCACACACAAGCACACACACAAGCACACACACAACTAACAACACACAACACACAACATACACACAACACACAACACACACACACCACGCACACCACATACATCACACACACACCCACACCACACACACACGCACACACACACACGCACGCACACACGCACGTACGCACACACAAAACAAAAACGCACACAACAACACACACGCACAAACACAAACATACAAACACACACAAGCACACACACGCAACACACACCACACACGCCACACAACACACACCACACACACCACACAACACACACCATACACACCACACACAACACACACACCACAAACACACCACACAACACACACACACACTCACCACACACACGCACACATAGATTCGTCGCAAGAACCAACATGGGTCACCGCAACTGCACTGCCGAAGCAGACTGAATTTTGCTCGGCCTGGGCCGTTCTTGTTCATGGTCTCGGTGTCTCAGAACGGTCACAGAACGTTCAAGTTCCGAGAGAAAAAAGAAAAACGTCGGCGTCATCATGACATCAGAGGTCTGGAGTCGGGGGCGTCCAAGAGGGGGGGGTGCAAATCATGGCCAGCGGCATGTGCGCGGCCCAAGGTGGGGGGGTTGGGGACGCATTTAAATTAAGAAGAGGCGCCGTGACGTCTGGGGAGATCTCATGGCCCCCGCCATGATATCCATCCCCTCCTGGTCGTCACCCCCGTCTTGGCCGCTCCCGACTGCATGGGAGAGGCGGCAGGAAGGGAGGAGGCCGAAGAGGAGGACACCGCGGCTCTTCTTCCTGGTGCCCCCGCGCCTGGCAACTCGGTGGTCATGCAACGCCGGGCGCGGCGCGCCCCGGAGGGGAGGGAGCAGAGGGAGAAGAGGGGGGGGAGCGAGAGGGCGAGACGAGGATGGAGCGAGGGGGGTAGAGAGAGAGAGAGAGTGAGAGGAAGATAATGAGGGAGGGAGAGAGAATGAGCGAATACGCGGAAGGCGAAGAGAGAGGGGAGCGAGATGCCGTGACGAGGATGGAGAGCGAGAGGAAGATAATGAGAGAGGAAGAGAGGAAATAAAGGGAGAGGGGGAAGGGGAATACATGCACTCAATCCGACACATGCATTTAATCCGGCACAGGGCGGAGGCGACGGGCAAGGCTCAATGGGCCACCCGCATTGCCGCAAGTGCGCTTCGCACTCCCCGCTGGGAAGAAATCACCAACCCTAGGGTCAGGAGGACGAGGTAATGGAGACGTTGGCAGGGGGAGGATGACGACGATGAGAGGACGAGGATGGGCGAGGAAGAAATGGAAGGGGGGGAGACGGGGATACAAGAGGGTCGGAGTGGGGACATGGGGAGGACGGGGGAAGAGAGCGGAGAGGCGAGAGGTGGATAACACATCTGCATACATATATATATATATATATATATATATATTTATACATGATCAATGTATATATAGATGTAGAGATATGTAGACATGGAATAAGATAACGAGAGAGAGAGAGAAACAAAAATAACGAAAGCACGAAAGAGGGATGATCAGTGATATACATCTACATAGATGGGGAGAGATAGAGGGAGAGAAAGAGAGAGAGAGAGAGAGAGCCGTTGACAGAGAGAGAAATAGAGAGAGAGAGAGAAAAACAAACAAGGAGCAGGGAGAGAGAGAGAGAGAGAAAACAAAAGAGAGAGAGAGAGAGAGAGGGAAAGAGATGGAACGAGGGAGAGAGAGAGAGAGAGAGAGCGGAAGAGAGATGGAGTAAGAGAAAGGAAGAGAAAGGGAGGGACGGAAGAGCGACGGGGGAAGATGGAGAGTGAGGGAAAGAGGAGTTGGGAGCAGGAGGAAGACGAAGAGGAGGAGGACGTGGAGGAGGAGGCTGCGGTTTCTGCTCGGGGAGAGCCAGCCATCCTGGGACCCACTACCCAGCTCGAGCCACTGTCACTTACTCGCACGAGTGCCCCTCGACAAACCAAGACGGCCCAAAGGTGGCCCAAAAGGGCATCATGGCCCAAGGTGGCTCCAAAGCTGTGCACCAGGATGCCTTCCCGAACCCCCAGTGCTCAATCAACACCAGACAACAACGACATCATATGCGAGAAGATCCATCTCCCAAAAGAAACATACGTTAACGTAATGTCATGTGGTAGGTAAGTATTTTCTATACTGGAAATGTGACCACCGCTCTTCGCCACATCTTGGCTGCACCAGACCGTGAGGTAGAGCATCACCAAACAAACTTGAATCGCAAGACCACCAAACTCCGCATCTTCGACGCTCATCCACCCTTCCAGTCGTGTCCGCGTGGACTCACGGTACAAAACCAATGATAAACCAACCAGCGAAGGTCACCGTGAACGACGGAAATGCGGTCATGGCCAGCCTTTGGTCCGCCCCCCGCCATCGCCTCCACCCTGCAGAAAGCGCTCACTGCCGCATCGCATCCACAGCGACGGACAAGAATTCGGCCAGGCTGTCACTCCCCTGCCGGGAGATCTCAAGACAGCACAACTGCAACTCAAGTAAAGCAGTTTCCAGCGGAGATGAGGAATACATGAAATATGGCCAGAAGAGGCTGACTGCACCCTGCAGCGGAGCCCCAAACAGGCAGTTTCGGAGGCCATGAGAATCAGGAAGCCCTCAGGCCACCGACCAGAATCTCCGCCCTCTCCCCGCAAGAGTCTCACAGAGCCCTCCCCTATGGGACCACGAGACGTCCAGGACCGCGCACAACAGGGCGCCCTGAGACAGCCCAGGAGGGAGGTCGCCAAGAGGCCTCAGACCAGCCACGAGGCCCCGAGAGGCGCAACCAGGCTGTCTGAGAGGACCCCGAGGGCGTCCACTGCTCGGCCACCGGCGGTGGCTGGCCGGAGGCGCCTGGGACACAGCCTGACGGGCACGACACGAATCGCAGACTCCTGAGCAAGCAGCAGCTGCGACATCAAAGCCTCCCGCAAAACATCGGCGGCGCGCCTGGGGGGGAAGTGAGAAGGAGGATGCCTTCTCAAAGGCGGCGGAACTTCCCGGGAGCCCTGCGGCCTTCTCAGAAGATCTCTGTCTCTTCGGGGAAGGCTTGGTTTTCGGGTCATTACTCGTTCCTCTGGCGGCCGTTCTGGAAAATCCAAGCACCCTCGGAACGCCCTCGGCGAGGTGGGCTGCCGGAAAACATCCCGAGGCTGGAAGACCGCCGAGAGCCGACGAGAACGCCCGAAAACTTGAGCGAACCCCGAAAACCTCGAAGCTCGAGGGCACGAAGAGCGCGGCCACCTTCGCTCTCCCCTGCTCCGCAGCCCCTCTAGAACCGAGACCGTGAAGCGCGAGCACCACGGTCATCTTCGCGGCCTCCTCCTCCCCCTCCTCCTCGTCCTCCTCCTCCTCCTCCTTCCCCTCCTCCTCCTCCTCCTCCTCCTCCTCCTCCTCTTCCCTCTCCTCCGACCGGGTGGCCCAGAGTTGTCGTCGGACAGGGTACGAGTCGCACGCTCCTGGGCAAGCAACGCTACTCGTGCGGGGTCCCTCTCCCCGCACCCCTCGATTTCAAGGTTCGCGCGGGGCGCCGCGCGATCCGATGTTTCCGCCGTCGGCCGCGGCTGACTCAACATTGACATCAGGCTTCGGGCGAGGGGGCACGCTCAGGGGTTCCTCGATCGACGCAGAGGACGACGCTGGCAACCAACAAGTATTGCACATGTCGGAGTTACGTGCGGAGTTCTTGTGTCGGCGCGGGGCCCACACCCCCACACAGCTGGGGGCGCCTCCGGCGCACCAAGGAAAGGTTGCCGGGAGTGGGAATCCAACCCCGATCAAAGAGGTCAGCAGGGACTTCCAGAATTTCAGGTTTACGTCGTTTATGTGTGTTCTTTCAAAATCTGACGCTAGATACTAATTTTTCCTTCACGAAACACGCTCCCCTGCGGATGATGGTGCTCGCGAGTTGCACCAAGCAAGCCTGGAGTCACGCGAGGACCAAGCTGCAACAAACGAGCCCGCACGCGAAACTTGCGCTTGCGCAACACTGATGGCAAAGCGTGGACACCGGAATCGGAATTATGTACACATCTTGCCTTTTCCTTCTTTCGACAGAGCTTGGGCCATGGCCCGCCCGCAGAGTCAGCGAACGAAGGTCAGGAGGGTGATAGCACACTCGCAAGCCACAGCAGGCCCGCCTCGAGCGCCAAAGCCTCAGCCTCGAACGCAGATGCGAGCCCTCGCACGGGCTCCCCATCTCTCCATAGCGTGCTGTACTTGTACCGGCCGCTGTCCCCATCCACGGAGGCGTGCAAGACAGCGAAGCCAATGGCACCTTCGCCGTTGCGCCGTATGCCGCCGTGGTGCGTTTGGGGGTCTTCTTGGGGCCCCCGTGGCCACGACCGCCTCCCCGCGCCTCGTCCTCGCCAACGCCGACCTCTTGCGCGCCCGCCGCGAGGCCCGGAGGCCGGGCCGGCCCACTGTGTGACAGCCCGCCCTCGAGATTTCGGGGTCCCAGACCGGTCGGTCCCCGAAGACCAAGACCTTCCTTCGCGGTCAGCAAGCGCCCTGCTGAAAACAGGGCAGGGTAAGCCAGCATCGAATCCGTAAGTCGAGTCGAATCGACATTTGCATCGTACGGGGCTGCATCGGCACGAAGTCGAAATCGACTCGGATCGACTGCACCAAGATGCACAACAACGCCATGTAAGCATCGGGCCGCATCGGATTACCGGGAAATCGAAATCGATCTGGGTCGGCCTGCCCAAAATCGTTATCGAATCGGATCGAAATTGGCCCTGAGCACGGGTCCAACCAAAAGAGGGTTGGAGACAACGACCGCCTTCCCAAGGAATGCCAAAGCCGCTTGGTGTTACAAACCGTGCGGTGACATCGAAATCCGCAAAAACATCACCGCATGATCCGTCACCGCACAGTCTTGCGACCTCGGAGGCCCCAGTCGCCCGAAACATCCTCGGAGAACGATCCACGTCCCGACACCGTGCGGTGACTCCGCACCTCCACCGACTCACCACGCGGTGTGGTCATCACACCGTCTGGGAGCCCCCGGCTGCTCCCCGGGGACTGCCAGTCGGTGCCCCGGGGGGCCGCAGCTCGGCGCCCAGGGAGCCGCCACTCGGCCCCGGGAGCCAGGCCGCTCAGGGACCGCAGCTCGGCCGCGGGTGGCCGCAGCCCGGTCGCCACTCGGCCCACTGGGGAGACCGCAGCTCGGCGCCCTGGAGATCGCAAAACGCGCTCCCGCGCGCGAGGGAGCGCAGCGGGGGACACGAGGGACGACGACGATGACGCCACCCTCCTCGCACGACGCTGGGAGAGTCGGCGGCGCGCAGTGGGACATGGGGAGGGGGGAAGGCTTCTTCGAAACATCCCTGCCTCTTAGAAGGCGCCGGCCCTGTGCCTATAAAGAAGGCCCGCGCCATCTAAGGAGCAGGGGTGCTTCGAAGAAGCATTCCCCCTTCCCCTTTCCCCCTCTGCGCGTGGCCGGCAGAGCCAGCCCGAGCATCGGTGGAGACGATAAGGGCGAATAGCCAAGGGGAGGGCAATGCACGCATTCGCATGGGAGCCTCGCCGAAGACATGGATCATCGGCGCGCCTGGATACGTGTATTGCTCCCCCCTGGGCCATTCGCCCCCACCGTTGCTTCTGAGAGCAGTCCTCCGCGTTGGCGGCACTGGCCCAGCGCTGGAGGCTCTTGGCAGCAGCGCTGGCAGCTCCAGCGCGACCGAAGACCTGCCCCGGGTTCGCCCTGTGTGCGCTCCGCCTGCCGCCTCCGTCTGGTCCTTCCCCTCCCCCTCCTCCTCCTCCTCCTCCTCCTCCTCCTCCTCCTCCTCTTCATCACCCCCTTCTTCTGAAGGGGGAACGGTCGGGGGTAACTGGCTCGGGGGGGGAGGGGGACATCGACCTGACTCGGCCATGCATCGCCGATATGCACCCGCTAGCGAAACCGCACGTTCCTGGGGGGATGGGCTATGGAGGCCCATATCGGAGATGAGTGGGCGATTATGGATCCATGCGTTCCACCCTGAGCCTACACCACCTAACGTTGCCCCCCTTATCTCCTCCTCCTCCTCCTCCTCCTCCTCGTCCTCATCATGTCGCCTCGTCCTCCTCCTCAGCCTCCTCCTCCCCCTAACGTTGCCCCTGATCTCCTCCTCCTCCTCCTCCTCCTTCTCCTCGTCCTTCTCCTCCTCCTCATCCTCCTCCCGTGCTTCTTCTGCCTTCCTCCTGCTCCTCCTCCTCCTCCTCCTCCTTTCACGGGACTCCCCTCCAACCACTCTCTTACCAGATCCTCACCTCCCCTCTCATGTCGCCGCACGCGTAACTAGATTCACGGACCCGGCGGCGCTCGGGGGCTTCTGGCAGCAAGGCTCAGCTCTGGTGCCGAGCTGGCCTCCTCCTGAGACTGGCCCGAGGGGTCGTGATCGGGCAAGGAGGCGGGCTTGGGCACGGCACGACCGACCCTCTGCTTTTTTATTATTCGCGATAACGCGCGTGATCGGGGGAGGAGGGGGGTCGTCCCACCCGATCACATCACGGCGGGGGGGCGACGGAAATCTAAGCCAATGTGGGCAAAATAGCGTGACGTGATTAGGGTGGGCGGGGGAGGGAGAGGGCCCATCACGGCCGTTTTCGCCGAGATCCTAACAGAAACAGACTCTGGCAAACCGTCCCCCTCCGCGGGGTCATCCTCGCCTTTCGGGCTCCCCTCTGGCCGCATGCACACGTCTTGGGGCGAGGGGGTGGCGCCGCGATGCCTTCCGCCGCCGCCTGCCCGAGCCGGCGCCCTCCAACCCTCGGCTGGCCTCTTCTTGCAGGCCATGGGAGAAGTCGGCCAGGGCAGAGGGCCGCAAGGAGAAGAGGGGGGGGAGGGGGCAATCTGGACGCCGTGATTGGGTACGGAAGGCATGGATACAGCCAGACCGAGGACAGAAAAACACTCTTGAAGAACATGAGTCCCTCCGCTGGCCAAAACACTCCAAACCGTGAGATCACTCGAGGGTACTCTCCCCCAGGAGGCACATGGGAACATCCAACAAGCACGAAGAACAGTAGGGTAGCCTCCCCGAACCGACCTCCTTCTTATACCTCGGTCCGACCGTACGCCCGATACCTAACAACGGATGTTGTCCAAGACCGACGGCGTCCGCTGCTGTCTCGAGTGGACAACACGGCAACACCGACAGCGAGCCCTCCAAACGAGCAGGAACCGCTGTCGGTCTCCGTGCCCATTCTGTAAGTACCCCACGCTTCTCAATACGCCGACAACTTCAAATCGACTCCAGTCGCGGGCAACTACCGCGCGCCGAAGGTGCTCTAACCCCCGTCGTGGCACGCGGACGAGGCGAGGTGGACCACCGTCGGGGGAATAGTCCCCCCAAGCTTGCTACGAAACGCAGTGCGCCCATTTCGATCGTCCCGAGGCGAGAGCCGGGAAGTGGCGCGCACACGGGGGGTACGGGGGATGGGGGAAAGCTTCTCAGAAGCCGGCGGCCTCTTAGAAGGCGCTGGTCCTGCACCTACAAAGAAGGCCTGCCTCCCCCCTTGCCCCCCTACCCGCCTCTGCGCGTGGCCAACAACAGCAAGTGTTGCTCGAAGCCGACAGCGGCCGCTTGGGTGAGCCTCACGGGAGCCTCTGTGGACCTCCGCGGCCCTTTCACAAACGTGCTTTCGACCAGGAGTCGTCCAGATTTCGGCCACCCCTCGTCACTTCGTCCAAATTTCGTCCGTCGGCGGCGAGCCCGTGTGGGAAGTGAGAAGGGGCGGGCCTTCTCAGAAGGATGGGAGGTCCCCTGGCCTTCTGGGAAGTTTTCTAAGCCTTCCCCGAAGACGCAGAGAACTTCTCAGACGGCGTGAGGGCTTCCGAGAAGCCCCGCCGCCCTTGTGAGACGGCCTTCCCCCTTCTCACTTCCCCCCCGTTTCTCGCCGCCGATCGTCACTTCGTCGAGATGCCGTCCAGAAGGCCGCATCGCTGCTGAGAAGTCCAGCCGCTTTCTGAGAAGGCCTTCTCCCTTCTCACTAGACGAGCGCGTTCCACTACTCGCATAACAACTACTCGCAGCTGGCCTGGATCCGCCGCGGGGGATCTACGATAAACTACACCGAACGAGACAAGTGTTTCTCGAGCGCTTGCGAGCGGTGGAAAACGCGTTCGGCGACTCGCGTCCCCGCCGTCGCTCGCCGCCGACCCGCTCCTCGGGCCTCCCGCCCTGCTCTGCGCGCGCGGGCGCGCGGGGAGAGCCTCGGCGCGCGCCCCCGTGGCAGGGCCGCGGGCCTCCCCCCCCTGGCGCGAGGGCAGACGAGGCAGGCCGCGCCGGGGGGGGGGGGCCTCCGACCGCGCGCCCCGCCGCGGGGGCGCTGCAGGCCCCACCGCCCCTGCGCAGGACGAGGCCAGGACGAGGACAACATCGGGTGGGGATCGTCGCCGTCGTCGTCGTCGTCGTCGTCGTCGTCGTCGTCGTCGTCGTTCTCGTCGTCGTCGTCGTTCTCGTCGTCGTTCTTCAGGGTCGGCGGCACTGGCCGCAAAGACTTCACAATGTCGAGAATCCCTCAGCCAGCGGCTCTGGAGGATGTCTCGGGCGCCGCGGCCCTCTCCGAGCGTTTTGGAACGCTCTGAGGGCGTTCCGGAATGCTCTGTGACGGATCTATCCTCGCCCGAGCCCCGTCCGACTACGTGCGACAGGGCGTCGTGGCGACCCCAGCGGTTGGTTCACGACTTGGCGGCGAGCCCAGGGGGGGAGCCAAACGGGGCGGGCCTTCTCAGAATGCTCGGAGGGCCTCTGGCCTTCTGAGAAGCGCTCTGAGCCGTCTCCCGAGGCACAAGACACTTCTCCGAGGGCGCGAGGGCTTCCGAGAAGCCCCGCCGCCCCTCTGAGGAGGCCTCCTCCTTCTCGCTTCCCCCCCGTCGCTCGCCGCACGACGCCACCGCGCGCATCGCTCCACCTTGAGCGATCGGCGGCTTCTCCATGGTCAAAAGAAGAAGAAAGACAATGATAATAAGCAACTGCATAACCATAAACTTTTGGCGATCCACGCGGATTTCTTGGATCCGCGCTGGACCCCCGTCCCTGGCGCGCGGAGCGCGCCAAGGGAGGCGCCGGAGGCGCCGCCCAAGGGGGCCCAGCGCGGATCCAAGAAATCCGCGCGGAACGCCAACAATATATGCTTGTAACGTTTTTTCTTTTCCGAATGGTAAGATCGGTTCCTGCCGGCCGAGATTCTGGGCCAATGGCGGCGGCGTTCCATCGCGAACGCACGCGGCGGCGCGAACCTGCCGCAAGCAGACTCTTCCCTTGCAGGGCGGCTGTTTCTTCGCCCACCCCCCCATTGAAGGTCGAGGCCCCGTTGTCGCGGCAGGAGCTCTGCGAGGCGAGAGCTCCAGAATAGCGGCGCTGATGCCCCGATCGGCCTCTCGTGGGCCACGTTCGCGAGCTCGGGGACCGATTCGACAGAACGGTAACGGATATGTGTCATCACCCCTCCCCCTCCTCTTTCCCTCTCCTCCTCCCGTCCCCCGCGAGAGGTTCCTGCCCAAACGTCAAACTGGAGACGTCTTGGCAAAAGTCCGCATCCCAGGAAGAGTGGGGTCCAATCAAGCCGGGGCCGTTGATGTCAAACACAACCCTGCCCAAACGTAGCGAGCTTTGGCTTCTGTCACTGCGTGATGAACCGTTCCATCTTGCATGATCTCCGCGGTCGTCCCCAGAAAGCTGACGGGGGCGCCCATTCTCTCCCTCTCCTTGCTTATCCTACTGCTCCACCCCCGCCGCAATCTTCAGCACGGTCTTCTGACACCCACTCCTGCGATCGCAAGTGGACCTCCTGCCTGGGCTTCACCCGTTGCCCCAACATTGGGCTGTCCACCTCCGATACCACCCACTCGGTCTTTTGGCTTATGCTCCTCCATCGTGTCGGCCTGGGCACGGAGCCTGCTCAGCTAACAGTCCTCGATGAGACCACGCTTGAAAATCATAAAGTCCGCCGATCCGGCGTGTGAGTTTCAAGGAGTCTCAGCTACAGCCTCGAGGCTGAGCTTCAGCCTCTGGGGGGGTCGCCGGGGTGGCTCTGCCGGGGAAGGGGGGGTGGGGGGGGGGGGGGGGGTGCGAGTTTCCGGCGAACCCCGGGGCCGCTCCGGGGGAGTGGAAGATAGGGGGGGGGGGGGCGCCATGCTCCGCTTTTTCCGGCGCTTTGGAGGAGGGGGGGGGCCCAAGAGACCCCCAAGGGGTTCCAAGAGGGCCCCGAGTCGCCGAAAAATCGCTCCAAGACGCCCGAGATGGCCTCCAGACGGCCCAAGGTGTCTCTTCCAAGAGGCCTCCCAAGAGGGCCCCAAGAGGCCAGAATCGTTGATTTTCATTGGTTTTCTCAGGGTTTTTAGCGTTCTCGGGCGTCCGACGCTCGAAGACGGCCCAAGAGGCCCCCAAGTCCGTCCCAAGACGGCCCACGATGCTTCCAACACGGCCCAAGAGAGCCCCAAGACGGCCCAAGAGGGCCCCAAGACGGCCCAAGAGGGCCTCTGGACAGCCCAAGAAGGCCCCAAGAGAGCCCCAAGAGGGGCCCAAGAGGGGGACCACGAACCGAAAGAACCGAGCTTTCCGCCCCAAGAGGCCCCCAGGAGGCCCCAAGAGACCCCCAAGGGGCCCCAAGAAGCCCACAAGAGGCCCAAAAGAGGTTCCAAGAGGCCCCAAAACAGCTCCCCAGAGGCCTCCAGACTGCCTCCGGCAGGCCCCCGGTTTCTTCCGCGGCACCGCCCAGGGCGCCACCGGCAGGATGTCCTCCGTCTCATCGTTTTCCTTCAAGTTATCGCCTCTTCCTCATTCTCCTCCTCCTCCTCTGCGACCTCACTCCTATCCCTCAACGATCGCGTCACCGAGTGCCTCTTCTTTGAAACATCCTCGCTCTTCAAACGCACATCCATACACACATGCATACATACCTACATTTAAACACATTTGCATACATAGAAAAACAATCTTCCAGACATACATACTTACATTCACACACATACACACATATTATCATACACACATACAAACATACATACAAACTAAATACATACATACGCGCACAAGCATACATACATACATACGTACCTACACACAGGCACACATGATCAATGCATGCATACATGCATGCACGCGTACATACACACACATATATCGTGAAACTCACCGCGTGCTCGAAACTTGAGAGAGACCGCGGGAAGTCGAGAGAAGCCGCGGAACGAGGCCTCTACTACTACTACCACTACTACCACAACCACTACTACTACTACTACTACCACTACTACTACTACTACTACTACTACTACTACTGCTACTACTACTACTACTACTACTACTATTACTAATACTACTACTAGTACTACAGGAGCGTTTCCCAACTAGTATGTGTGTGTGGGTGATGCTGTGTGCGCATGTCTGCGGCGCAGGTTAAGTGGTGTGACTGTGTGTGTGCGTTTGAGTGTGCGCCCATAATTTCTGCGTCTGGAGAATAACCCCGAGCGACCCGGATCGGCGGCACTGGCCGAAGGCCACTACAATAACTCGATCGATCAATCCCCTTGAGAACGTTCGAGCCCGTCGGGGCAGCCACCTCAGGCGGGCCTCGCTTTGTCGTAGACGCCACGTGCGCCTCCGCACGGCCTCAGGTTGCCCCCCACTGCGAGACGGTAGAAGAACTGCCCCTTCGCTCGCCCGCCTCCCTCCTCATCGAGACGCCATGCGCCAGGCAACGGACCTGTCGCGCGGAGATGTTGGAGTAATTCGCGACGTCGGGGAAGCCTGCCACGTCCACCTCGGAGATCCTACCTCCCCCTTACCCTCCCTCACTCCCTCCTTCCTCCCTCCTCTCCCTCCTCCCCCCGCCTCCTCCTCCTGTCTGCTCCCTCCCCCCTCCCTCCTCCCTCTTCCCCCCCTCCCCCCCTCCCCCCTCCTCGCCGCTCCTCCCTCCTCCCTCCCCTCCCCTCCACAATTTCTCAAAATGAATACTACTCTCCCTCTTCACCTGATGACGGCCTGGGAGTGTCCGATCCCCCCCGCGTACTGTTTTTTCACACGCAGGTTTCCCCAGAATTGGGTTTTCGCCTACATTTTTTTCAAAACGCTGCTCTCGCTGAGGCGCCGGCCTCATTTTCGGGCCCCGCTCGTTCCGAATCGTGCTCCCGCTGCAGCGCTGGCCTCATTTCCGTGCTTCCGCTCGTTCCGAATCGTGCTCCCGCTGCAGCGTTGGCCTCATTTCCGCGCTTCCGCTCGTTTCGACTCCTGCTCCCGCTGCAGCGCTGGCGTCATTTCCCGTGCCATGCCACGGCATGCACTGCGATGCTAGGTTGATACTACGCTTTGCGGTGCTCCTCTACGCCATGCCATGCCGTGCTCTACAATTCATCGCGTACCCATCATTGCCCTGCTCGACATCCGACTGAGCGAGTAGAGAGGGGATCTGCGCCATGGTAAGGGATGGGAGGGAGGGGTAGGATGTCAGATATGACGCGAGCGCACCTAGCTTGCCCCCCTCCCATCCCCTCCTCCTCCTCCTCCTCCTCCTCCTCCTCCTTCTCTTCCCTCCTCGCCCCTCCTCCCTCCTCCATCCCCCCTCCTCCCCCCTCCTCCCCCCTCCACCCCTCCTCGCCCCTTCCCTCCTCGCCCCTCCCTCCCTCGCCCCTCGGCGGAGCTGCGCGCGAAGCAGGCCGCGGGGTCCGACCCCGGGGCATGCCCGCGCCGCGGAAGGCCATGGGGGCGGGCCCCGCTCGGCTACGTCGGCCTCGCCGCGGTGCCCTTGGGCCCGATTATCATCAGGACCAGCGGGGACAGACAAGCGCGTTCCACTACGTCTTGCAGAGTAACTGCTCGCAGGTGGCCTGGGTTCGCCGCGGGGGGGGCGGGGGTGCGATATATTACACCGAGGCACGCATGTGTGATTGTTTGGCGTTTGCGAGTAGGCACTCTGCGAGCAATGGACCTCGCTCGGTGAGGGGAAGAGGTTTGATTTTTGTCGGTTGCATGAGAATTTGTTGACCACTTCGGTCGGTGTGGTGCTCCTCCTCCTCCTCCTCCTCCTCCTACTCCTACTCGTTCTTTCTCCTCCTCCTCCTCCTCCTCCTCCTCCTCCTCCTCCTCCTCCTCTGGCCCAAGGTGTGCATTTGCTGCCACGTTCTGCTTCCTCCCCCGTTGCGGCGAGCCTCCCGGGGCTGGGACATTGCCGAGCACCAGGGAGAATCGAGAGGAGCCTTTCGGCAGAACGCTGGCCCTGGCACACGGCCGCCACAGCCGCCCCTCAGCGGGCCACTCCACCCAGAGCCGCGCCAGGCGTACTGCGCCGAGGCGGCGCGCGGGCGCCACTCCCCAGACGGTGGTTGCCGATCCTTCGCGCTCGGCGGGCCGCTCACCGACACGCCTGCGCTGCCGGTGCTGGACATAGGCAGAAGGCATCTATACACCACCACCCTTCCAGGCCAGGACCATCCTGGGCCCTGGCATGGTGTATACGCCTCCTGGCCGAGGCCACAAGGGCATGTACACCATCGTGGAGCCCAGGGTGGCCCTGGCCGGGCACGGTGGTGGTGTATAGATGGCAGCTGCGGAGGACAGCCTACAGTAGGGGCTCGACCACAAGAAACCTTCCACAAAAAACCCAACCCTGAGACCCCAGGGCGTCCATCGATTTTTGGTGTGGCAACGTCACGCCTTCCATAGTAAAACCATCGAAACCCAAGGAACCCAGGGCACCCTGGAGGCAAGCAGGGTGTTTCTTGGCATGGGCCTCCACTGTACAGCGCACGGCTGCCCGCTGGCGGCGGCCACGGTGTGGCCTTGCTCGGTGGTGGCCCCAGCCTCCTGCCTGCACGCTCGTCGTCTGCCTGCGCGTTCCTGCCTCCCCCCCTCCGCCTGGCAGCACCGCCTGTCCGGGCCCTGCGCGGCGGTGCGCAGGGCTCTGGCCTGAAGAACCGAGGGGCCAGGGCACGACGCATAATCAAGTACGTGCGCGCGCTCCGCAGCGACATTCTGGGGCACGTGCTGCTCCGGGCGTCGTGCGGCCCGTGGGGGAGAGGGCAAAGCACGATCACACGACAAGTGTCTCACTCGTCGGCGAGAGGTGTGAAATGCTTGAGCTTGGATCTCTGCGCCATGCTCGCTCGACGAGCCCACGCGCTGAACACTTGCAGCCACACCTTTCGAAGACGACGGCATGCTCTGCGCATACGGGATCTTGATGAGGGAGCCGGTCCTGGAGGTAGGTAAGCTCTGGTTAGCTTTTTGCTATCCGCTTAGAAGTCTTGTTCGCTCGAGCTCGTTGACGTTTCTGTACCCCGAGTTTTAGCGCCAAACATTCCATCCCTGCTTCTCCTGGCGCGTCGTCGTCGTCTTGCATGTGGGAGCGAAGGGCAGACCATAAAGACACGAAGAAACGTCGCCGCTATGGTACGAAATCGGACATCGGACATTGGCCTGCATCATGCACCGCGAGGGTGTCGCAGGGTCGGGCCTAAGCACCCAACAGTTGTCAGGAGCAAAAAATCAATTACAGTACATAGTGAGACAAGATAAACATCATCTCAAAACGCATGCATGCTCGATATGACTAACAAACGAGACCTGTGCAAGAGGTAATCGCTGGCCGGCCGCTCATCGGACGATGTCGCGAACTTGGGAGCTGGGGTAGGAGAGATGGATGTCAATCGTGAAGTTAGGGGAGGGAATCGGAGTCCTGCACACGGGGGCTGGAGTCTGGGATGGGAGCTGGAGTCGGAAAAGATGAGGTAGCCGGAGTCGCATGGCTGGGAATCTGGGTCGCAGAAGTGGCTGCCAGAGTCGTCTGGTCGGGACCGGGAGTCGAGGAGCTGCACGCGGCAGCCTGAGTCACAAGTGGGGGCCGGAGTCGGAGAAGACGAAGTGTCAGAACCGTGTGGCTGGCGAGCTGGGGTTAGAAAGACAGAGGCCCGACAGGGAAAGACGAGCTCTCGCGCGATTTCGTGGGCACGCCCGGCGCCACTCGCTGGGTTCAGGTTCTGTATCGGTGGTTTCACTCTCCTGGAGGGCTCCGCCCGTGCAGATGCCGTGCTTAGCTCTGTCGTATTCGCGCTGTGCAGGCAAACCTGATTCGTCCCCATGCCAGCAGCATTGACCCGTGATCGCCACAAGCGTGGGCATAGAGTGCCTCTGGCTGGAGACGGCAAATGTCAGCCGTGCCCGTTGGTGCTCTGCGCGACGTCGCCGCCAAGATCATCAAATTCATCGTCGTGATAGTCATCATCACCATCATCATCACCATCATCGTCATCATCATCGTCATCATCATCATCACCATCACCATCACCATCATCATCATTACCACCAGCATCATAGTCATAATCATAATCATAATCATCATCACCATCCTCATTACCATCATCATCATGGTTATCATCATCATCACTATCGTCATCACCCTGGTCGTCGTCGTCATCATCGTCGTCGTCATCATCATCAACATCATCAACATCATCATCCTCATCATCGTCATCGTCATCATCGTCATCGTCATCGTCTTCGTCGTCATCGTAATCTCCATCACCATCGTCATCGTCATCATTATCGCCATCGTCATTGTCATCGTCACCACCATCATCATCATCACCATCATCATCAACATCATAACCATTATTATCATCACCATCATCATCATCACCATCCTGATCGTCTCGTCGTCGTCATCGTCGTCGTTATCGTCAGCTTCATCTTCATCATCATCATCATCATCATCATCATCATCAACATCAACATCATCAACATTATCATACTCATCACCGTCATCGTCGTCATCGCCATCGCAATCGCCAATTGTCATCGTCATCGTCACCGCCATCGTCATCGTCATCATCATCACCATCATAATCATAATCATCACTATCATCACCGTCATCACCATCACCATCATCATCATCATCGTCATCATCTGAGACGAAGCCAAGCTGAGGATAACATCGAATGACGATCAATCGAGAATCTCTCAAATCAAGCGGCTCTGGGAGATATAGCGGGCGCCGCGGCCTTCTCCGTGTGTTCTGGAAAGCGCTGAGAGCGTTCAGGAACCCTCTGGAACGGATTTATTTGTCCTCGTCCTAGCCCAGTCCGATCATCGTCGTCATCGTCGTCGCTGTCGTCGTCATCACCACCATCGTCATCACCAACATAATCATGTCCCTCCTTCTTCGCGGCTTTCTCCGCCCCCCTACCCCTGCTTCCCCTTGTTTCTGCTTTCTTAACTTCCTCCTCCTCCTCCTCCGTTTCCTCCTCCCCTACTCAACACCAGAACCATCACCATCACCAACACCAATATCGCCATCATACCCCATCATCAATCATCAATCACAAAGAATCAGCCACCCATTATCAACGACCAACCATGAACCATCAATCATCGTCAACAACCGTCAATCATCCGCCACCAACCATCATCAATCACCAGAACGAAGCATAATCGTCATCATCATCCTCATTCGCATCATCATCATCATCATCATCATCATCATCATCATCATCATCATCATCATCAACACCATGATCATCACAACCAACATCATCGTCATATTTCCCGTCATCATGATTATCATCATCAACATCTCTATCATTGTCATGATCACCAGCATCCTCATCATCATAATCATCATGATCATCAGGATCATCACGATCAGCATGGTTATCCGCATCATCACCACCACCATCATTAAGATCGCAAAATTACTATTGTTACTGGTACTGTTATTATTATTATTATTACGTGCTGCTCTTAGTAGTCTTCGAATTCGTCTTCTCATTCTTCTTCATCATGACCATCACCATCTGCATCAGCAACATCGTCATCACCACAATCATCGTCATCGTCCTCGTCGTTGCCATCGTCATCTTTACCATCACCACCACCATCCTCATCATCGTCATCACCCCCACCATCATTCTCATCACCATCACCATCGCCACAACCATCACCATCAACACCATCACATGAACATCCTCATCACCATCACCGTCACCGTCGTCGTCATCATCATCATCAGCAACAACCTCATCATCGCAATCATCATCACCGGCATCAGCATCATCATCGTCATGGTAATGATGATCATCATGCACATCATCAGCAGTAGTGGCATCACCACTACCATCATTACAATCGGCATCGAATTGATATTCATATTGTTCGTATTAATGTTACTCGTATTAGTCTGAGTATTCTTCTGACTCGTATTCTCATTATTCATTTTCGTCGCGACCAGCATTCGCATCAGCACCAGCAACATCAACATCTTCATCATCACCACCATCGTCCTCGCCATTGTCATCGTCCTCATCACCGTTATCGTCATCATCACCATCACCGTCACCTTCACCGTCATCATCCTACTCATCCTCCTCGTCATCATCACCATCATCAGCACCATAACCATCATTACCATTACCATTACCATTA